TTCTCTTTTGTTCTCTATCTACGTATATATTTTAAATGTTTAATTATATTATTTTACAACTAATCCGGTAGACACCGAAAACAACGATTTGATCATTGAAACTCGAGTGATCCTTAATTTTCTTTTATGATTTATAAGCTTCTATGAAAATATTAAAGACTATATGTATATTCCATTTGCAAGATACGTAAAAAATATTTGGAATCTTTTACTTGATATTTTACGTGGAATTTTTAACAAATTCTCCGGAAGATCAGGAAATTCTCGGAGAATTTTTTTCAAGTTCGAGTAGACACCCTGAAATATTCGTTTCCCTTGAGAAAGGTCGACGTTTCTGAATCACTATACATTTCACCGAAATCTTTTATTTGTTCTCACAAACGAGATACTCTCGTTTACTCGGCGATACAAAGGAAGCGCATTGTGCGAGTCGCTTCTCGCAGACGTTTCACGTGCTTCACGTTGTAGGACCTTGTACCGTGTTCGCGGAATCGCGGATACAGGAAGTGGACGATCTGTGCGAACCGAGGACAGAGCGATAGTGAACATATCCCGACGTTTCGTAACGACGAAAGCTGCTTTTCGTCGGCGCCGATTCTGCAGCCGCGAGTAGTCGCGTCCGCGTCAAATTCGTTAACCGGCAACGTAGTTAATCACAGCCGCGTTAAGCAATTACGTTACGATCGCAACGATAATTGCGTGCTACGCCGAACGTGTAACGATAAGACCAAGGATGAGTCGCGGTTTATTCAACGCTCCGCGTTTTCCCACACGATCGACCTAATTATATGTAAATCATCGCTGTAATTACAACGAGCTGTTGCATTTTTCTCTTTATGTTTCTTGCAGCACTGGAAGTACGTCAAGGTATGCTTATCCCGATTATTACTTCTTTTACAATATATAAGATTGATGAAAGATACGTTGGATCACAAGATGCAAGCAGCATGCATCTCTATCGCAATTTAACGCGTAACAATACACGACGTTTGTCGCAATAATCGCAGTAATAGTGTCGGTTTTTCGATACGGCAATTAAACAGCCGCGAAGACGGCTAGACATTCCTCCCGAGGATTGTCTCTTAACGCGTACATAAGTTACGAACGTGCTTCGCGCCGGTTAGGATAATTACTTTCATTAGCGTCGTAAAAGCATCCACTATACCGTTACTTGTTCCATCTGTTAGCCTTATTCTACCGTGCCTCTAATGCCTTTATGACAAAGTGGCGTTCACGCCAAAACGGCACGTCAGGAATTGCCGGATCGCCTCACGCGACAGAACGAGATCCAGTAATAACGTTCGCGCCCTGTCTTTTACGGTATGCTCCGACCCTTCACTCCCGTGACTTCGGTATGCCAAAGGGATTTCAGACCTTCCTTTCTTTTCTTCCGCTCGAAGCGACTAGTCAAGTAACTCCGAGACAATCGAGTATGAATTACCTCGTTCTGCGAAAGTTAATTTCAGCATTGCGAGAGATAACTGTGTTTGAAGAGGTCTTTTACCTATGAGCGTAAAGTAGACTCTCTCGTAGAGGATATTCGTGGTACGTGTCTGACTGGTTTGAGGAGCGCGTTTCACTGGCTCGTAAGATGAAAGTTCACGCGGTCCCTAAGTCCGGAAATACTTCCGGCCGGAGTTATAACTTGAAAACTACACCGAGTTCGGTTGTTTGTTATTTCTGAGCGGGCGCAGTTCGCCAACAGTTGGCGGAACAGTTGGCGAGCTGCGATTGGCCACAGCTTATTATTAATAGGAATAATATGCAGATCGCGCAGCGACGTAGTTGCTACAGATCATTGTCAGCGATATAATTTTTCACGCGACCAGGAAACATTTGCAACCTACGTTTCGGAGAATTTACTACGTCGCGAGCTTAACGCGTAACCGGGAAGTTTGTTTTCTTAATTTCCGTACAACTCGGTACTTTTTACCTTGAGATTTTAAAGTCCAATTATCGTTTTTTTTTTTTATGGCCCACCCATCTCGTGATATTTATGGTGAAAGCGCGCTGATATATCCGAACGCTTCGTGACACGCACGTGTGTCGTTTTCTGATAACCAAGGGTACTATTAATTCTATTCACATGTCGTGTAAAGAAACGAATGTCGCAACATCGTCGTAAAACGGAACGCTTCGAAATCGTCTTCTTTTGAGACTCATAAACGCGACTCGCAATTAGTCACGATTACGAAATGCGGATGGTAGGCGGATCACGTGTGCTACTCTGTCAATCGCTTGACATTTATTCACCTGGCTGCATGACACGCGACGCACGCACGCACGCACGCATGTGTGCGCGCGCGTGATGCACGCTCACGCGCAGGGGCGAATTCATATGAAAACTAATAAAATTGTTATATTAACTTTATTTGGAAATGCTTACTTATGCGTTCTCCGGAAATCTCTACACTGAAATACAAAGACTCGGTTATGTTCGTGTCGTCTGGAGATATTTGTACAAATAGTTTCAATGAAAAATATCCTTACTAATTTCTCAGGGAAAGAAGATTATATATACATATATATGTACATACACATATGAAATTTGTCTCTGCAGGACCATGTACGTATAACCATAGATAATTATATATATTCACAACGAGAAAATATTGTTGTGTGCAAATTGTATACAAATACAATCGAAGTAAATGCTTTCTGGCAACATATGACGTCGACGCTTAATTGCATGACATGACAATTTTTTTTTTGTACAGACGTATATGATTATATGTGTGACTATATACAGACAAAATTCATATATAATTTATATATAATCATATATAATTTTATGTAATTATATATAATTATATATAATCATTTCTCCCGGGTTGTTTTACTTGTATCAATAAATAAAATAAAACGGGGTACATTCCGTTTAACATCTTTCGCTCGGTTCTTCGCAAGTGCTGTTTATGGGTTACGCTTTTTAACTGGGGCTCCTAAAAATGACGAGTTTCGTGTCTCGGAAGGTCGTCATCATTCGCCCCTGCTCACGCGAGCACTCTTTCTTTCTCCGCTAACCCACGGTGACGGTGCTTAATCGCTATCTTTTTCAGACTTACACATGCCTACACGTGTGCGTCCTTGTGAACAACCAACCATGCTGTTCCCCTACCGTAAGTCTATAGTTCTCAGTCATTATCGACGGCATTATTTGACAACACGCACGATTTATCGTCGTTTGCAGTGTAAATCCCGCCTTTTCGTGTATCGACGGCGTTGCGAATTAAGGAATTATGTAAAACGTGCGAGATGCGCAACGCGGCATTGCGCGCGCGCTTGTCGCCCCGATGCGTATCCCACGGGGATACAACCTTCGCTGTTTGCGCGACGCGAGTGTTCTCTCATGTTATTAACGTGTCACTGTCTGACTAACACCCGCACGAAATGACGTACTCACTTTACATGTTGCTGTTGACCATTGGCCGACCGATATGGTAGCGAACACGCGTCAAGCTTAATGTGTATTTTTAAATTGTAGATTTGCATGCGTTTGCTTTTTTGCACGTGCACAGCTCGGAGCGTCAGGGTCTTGGGCGGTGACAATGACAGCAGGCGGCATCATTTCGGACACTTTTAACTTGAACTGCGGTTTTTACATAATGTGGGCACACCTTATGTGCGGTCAGTCTCGTCAGAAAATTACCGCAGCCTCACGCAAAACATCTCGGTTGAATAATAAGCACAATTCACTTAGACTTGTATTGCGCGACTGGGATATACTCATACTGAAGCCAAAATTTACACATGACAGCAATTAATTAATTGATAGTTTGATATATTTCTCAATCTGATTATATATATAAATTCACCATGTATAAAAGAAAATATCAGAAAGTTAAAAAAATCTTCCATATTGATTTATGCATTGTTGAAGCTGCAGCTCCAATTGCGCGTTATTTCTAATGCCAGTATATAGGAAAGATTTTGTCTTGGCTAGTAACTGTTGTGTAACGTATAGTACTATTATGTATGCACGTTTGTGAAAACAGTAGAAAGACAGGATATTCGCTGCATTTGTCACGTAGACCATGGTTTCTAAATGGCAATGTGCAATTGTAATTACGTCGTTTGCGTTGCTCTTAAGGCAATTGGTCCGTAGATTGATTTTCTCAGGAATCTTTTCGAATTTTAATAGCATATTAGTTAAAACACGATCTATGTGCATATAAAATTAGAAAAAAATTGACCGTGCCGAAACTGAGATAATTAAAGTCATCGTTAGTACTATTTACACACAAATCACCGGTACGAAAATTGGCTTCTGATATCACGTTTTTAATTTTATACTCCAATACTCCTTAGCAAATTTTTGCTTGGATTGAGTAAATATTACTTGAATGTCAAAAAAGTACTATATTCGAGCATTATATATTTACTTGGTCCAAGTAAAATTTACTTAATCCAAGTAAACATTTTCTAAGGCGTACTGGAGTAATTATTTACTTGAATCCAGCACTTGTTTTCCGTGTATGCTTTATCCGGACAAAGACAACTATGGTTTACCTTTTCGTCTCATGAATGTTTCCACCTTCGAGGAAAATTCTCCGTGCGTGCTGATACATATGCAGCAGAATCGGAATTACGAAATTTCGAATGTTGTTCGCGCGAGTTCCGCCGTGCATTTCTATTAGATTATGCGCCGCTATTACATGATCTGCTCGACGATCTCGTAGACGCTCTCGACTGATACCCACGCTGCCTTCGTTATTTGCATTATGCATATACGCGCAACTCTCAACATTCCTGCGGTTTTTCGTTTTCTGCCGGCGGTGGTAACCGCTCGCGCGAGTTACATCGTCGGTGGACTATAGCCCCTCGTGTACGTAAATACATCCTCATCGTGCCATTTAGCTCTGCCGCGTTTCTTTCTCATGTGTCTGTGTGTGTCAGTTTTGATATTTATCCTTTTCTTCCTCGATTTTTATATAACCAGACGAGCTCTACTCGAATGTGAAAAGCGGCAATTAACTTGCCCGGCGTGGAATTTGTTGCAGGCGAGCCGACATGTCGGGGATTTGTTCGAGGATCTGCGCGACGGCCACAATCTCATCTCCTTGTTGGAAGTGCTCTCAGGCGAGCACCTTGTGAGTATTTGCCCTTCGCCAAGCCCTCGTGGCAGTCTTTCTCTGTCTCTCTCTCTAAATTCGGTTCCGTTCTGTGACACGAGTTCACCGTTACTTGAGATAACCCGAGTCAACATTTTAGCCCTGCTTTGAGTCTAATTTAGTTCTGCGTTAAGTGTTCAAAGATCTTCTATTGTCCTCTGCTACTACAAATGGGAGCCTATTTCCATTTTCTCCACTTCAATGTAGAATTAAAAATTTCGACCCGGATAAGATTCGCGAATTCGAGTCACTCGCAAGGCCGCGCTGAGAACTCGAACGTCGAATTTCCAGCGACAATTGGATCAAGTAGCGACGATTGTCCCGGATCGAGCGTAATTAATCGACGAATCGCTCTCGTTACTTTTCCAGCCGCGGGAGAGGGGTCGAATGCGTTTCCACATGCTGCAAAATGTGCAGATGGCCCTCGATTTTTTACGCTACAAGAAGATCAAGCTGGTCAACATCCGGGCGGAGGATATCGTGGACGGTAATCCGAAACTGACCCTCGGCCTGATATGGACGATCATCCTGCACTTCCAGGTAAGCCCGGCGGTCATCTCGGGAGAGGAGACGCGATAAAACCGTACTGATAACCGAACGCGCGCGAGCGCGCGCGAGAGAGAGAGAGAGCCCGCGAGCTAACGGCCGCGGTAACGATGAACTCACGCGAGCGTGGTTCGCCTTTCGAATCGACCATGCGTCTCGGAACAACAACGACAGCAACCCTAGATGCTTATGCCGCGTGTTGCGCTGCCGCAGAGAGCGCGAGCACCAGCCGCAGCGTCGTCGTAAATTTATGCGCGTCGCGTATTCACCAGCTACACGGGCTGCATTTTACGATCATTCGCTATGCGGGAACTTCCGAAAGTCGCACACTGTGTGTGCGACTTCTTTTCGACCGAGGACCCCTTTGGAAGTCGCTTCTTTCTGGCACGAAAAATCGCGCGCCAGACCGTCGCCGTCGTGATGCTTGAACTTTGGAAGAATCCGGCGATACCTCGAGCGTGACCACGGCTGGCGTGCGGTGTACAGCAGACTCCATTAACCCGTAAATAGATGCGTGGGGTCAAATTGACCCATAGACGCACGAACAAACGCATGTTTCTCCGTTTTATTTTTGTCTATATTGAAAGAAGAAAAGGGATTTGGTTTGAAGGATCGGTTAATGTAGTCAAATCATTTAGTCGCACGTAATGTATGCAACTAAATGATTTGGTTACTGTAATTATGGCCGGTATTCATAGTCAGATCTTACATTTAAGACCGTCTTAAGTTCATCTTCAGATGCTTCGTAGCCAATGGAATGAACCGTACAGTGTCTGATGATGAACTTAAGACGGCCTTATATACATGTAAAATTGGATTATGAATACCGACCAAAATTATTTAATTGATACTATTTCACTAAAGGTCAGTTGTACCCAACTTCGAGTAAATTGATCTAATGGAGGAATATTCGAAGAACGTCCTCATACGGAAATAAAATACAAGTATATGGAAAAATTACTAGTATATTATTGGAGAACAGTGATATAGCAGTATTTTTTTTCGTATTCTTGCAGTTTATTTCTGTATGAAAAGAGCTCCGCTCTTCAGATATTTATCCATTAGATAGATTTATCCGAAAGTGGAATAACCGGTCTCAAATTGTCAGCAAATCCTGTTCTCAGTGTACGACATCGATGTTTTCAGTAACTTGCCTCTACTGCTTACCCTTAAATTTAGAGTAACGTAGTTTAGAGTAACGCAGTAGAATAATTTAAAGTAACGTAGATGGTTGCGTTCAGCAGAAAAAGCAGCTAGTAATGACTTTCTGCTAATAGTAGCTTTGCAACTGTTATAGAATTTTCTGCTGAATGACACTTAACAACCTACGCTGCTCCAACATGTTTATCAAGCGATCCAACGTATAAAGAAAAAAAAAATATACCGGAAAAAAATGGCACTCGCTTAGCAAACATGTTGGAAAAGCATAAACCATTGGTGTGTCGTTCAGCAGAAAATCTTACAACCGTTGCAAAACTGCCGGCAGCGCAGCGCTAAGCGCTTATTAAGCCGCTTTTTTCATCTGAGCGCAGTCAGTAACTCGAGAATCTCAGCTATGCACAGCAGTTGTTTCATTCCTCTGAAAGTCACCTACTTACTTTAATATTATCTCATTTTTTGGTCATAGTGACACCGGAAATTTCAAGCCAGGATCATTATTCGTGCATCACGGCTGTTGATAATTTCACGAATGGGCAACGATTCTCCAAATAGATCATTCAAAAGGAACGCGCCTAATTGGGAATTTTCAGCGTTACTACGCATAAAGACGGAACAGCATTAATGGGGTCTGCTATACGTCACGTCGAAAGTATTTTACATTTGTGTACTCATGCGCGTACCGTTGGACTAACGGAATACGTTGGTTCTACTGGGTGCGGCGCCTGATACTTTCGTCCTGTTGGAAATTGCTATTCGGTCACTTTCCGCGGCGCGGGACACGTGAAAGAGCGGCGATAAAAGCCTTTTCTTCCACCGTTTTCACCGGCGCGCTTTTTCAGCCATTCCACGTCCGCGCGTTGGTGAGACATGAGCGGACTGAACGACGCGTTGAAAGTCGTTGCGTTACTCTCGTCTCGTTCGCTCGATATAATCGCCTGAAAGATAACACAAGCAGAGCAAGATGAAATAATTAGAATCGCCGTGACTCCGCGCGACGCACCGCCGCGCGAGTGAATGTGCGTGCGTCCTTCTATTTCGAGCTGCTCGGGCGGAAACGCGCGCCCGGCGGATAACTCTTGGAATTAATTGCGGCGGCGCGTTACGTCACAATTCGCGGCGGAATTCCTTTTTGTTCTCCAGTCATCTCCGAGCGCGCGACGCACTGTAAGTAAGTGTACGTGTGTCGCAATCGGTAGGCCTTTTCCTCCGGCCGAATTTGTGCCGCCGTGCGGAGGAGACGCGCGCCGCTCTAGCGGAGCAGATCCTCCGCGAAGCGTTTACACGTGCGCGGCGTGAAACGTCCCTCGGTCCGTTGCGCTTCGCGTCTCCCCGGCGAGCAGTGGTCCGGCTGTCATAAAGCTGACAGGTTGACGATCAGACAGTGTCGATGAACCCCGACGATTCCCCGTTTTCGAGCGCGGCTCGGCCACGACGGTGCTCGTAGGAAGCGCGCGAGAGAGAAGACGCGTCGAGTTGCCGCAGCGCGATTGTTTCTCGCTCGACCTCTCGCGCTTTTTCGGCCCCTCAGACGCCCAACCGACAAATTCCATCGGCGATGGGCGTACCCTCGGTCGGGTAACTCGATGGTCGGCACGACACAACGCGGCATGACGCGACTCTGAACTCGACTCGGCTTAGCGTGCATGCTAATCAAGCATGTCGCGCATACCACGATAGGTCACATCTCTCGCGGCCAGTGCGTGTCCCCGCGCTATTTTTAGCGCCCGATCTGAGCGACGTTGTGGTAGGTGCCGGTAACGAATGCACTACGTGCATGGAACCATGCGCATTGCCAAAGAAAAGCGAAAGCGAGGACGGCCGCCTCGTGCAGCACCGGTCGAGAGAGTCACGCTCGACCGAGTCGCACAGGGTGCTCGGTCCAGGAGGCCAGCAGCTATTTTGTCTAGTCGCGCGTGTACATGAGCATTATGTTCGGTCCTGTGTATTTATCTCACAATCGACGGAATTTGCAGTTCAATAGAGTATCGAATTATCGGGCTGTATCTCGAGTCGCGGATATCAATCACGGGTCTTTAGCTTGTCAAGTCTGCGAAGTAGAATTCCGTACTCGTGTATTCTTTCTGCTTTGCCGTAATTTGAAGTAGACGTAATCACCATCTGTTTCACAATCTCTTGAACCAAGTGATATTTTTGGCAATTTAAGTATATTTTAATATGCTTTGTGATATTAATATTGTACTTTAAATTACTTGAACGCGGTAATATCTTAATTTGTAAATGAATTACGGAATGAAAGTGTACAGTGGTTTTAAATTTCGATCTTTTCCCGCCCAGCGAATATCTTCTAAAAATCAATTCTGATAATCCGAATATTACGAATTTCATATTTGTCGCAATTGTTTCAACACGTACAAGTAAATGTCTTACTTATACAAGGAAAATATCATACTGTGTATAGTCAATTATGTTTCTATTTCCAGTGAATATTTGCCAAGAAATATTGGAGTTACCATTTAACTTGGTTCAAGTAAATATCGAACGGTAGCACTTTCCTTTTTTTATACACACCTACAATTACACCGTTACGATTATAATTTTAACGCCAGGTTTGACAATTTCATTAAGATTTCGTCGGAAGCTGCTTCCGCCGGTTTTACACACGAAGGTCTCGATCACTCGCTTCGGATCTTTTGCGATCGCCCGCAATCGGCTTCCGCCGTTACCCGCCGTCGCTGGACGCGCGAATAGCGTATAAAGTCGCGGCGCAATTGACGTCGATTGTCCGCATCTCCTTCGCACGCATACGATATCGGTGAATCTCGGGACCGTGTTGGTCCCGGCGGTGTCCCGCATTCGCTCATGAATATTTCTTTTGATGGCGATCTGTGTTGCTACCGTGTCCGCTACCGCGTGGCGTGCGCGCGCGCGATAAACGGCGGCGAGACATCGGGCGTGCAATTTATGTACGTCGGCGCGAGAGATCACGCGCGTTTCTTTTTAAGGAGCCGCAAAAAGCCGGGCGAAGGCGCGAACCGAGTTACGCGAGCGTATAAAGGCGGCTAGTGTTCGCCATCCCGTAGACAGTGGTGCCTAAGAGAGGAGGAGGCCGAGAACGAGAAGGAAGGAGGAGGCTTTTGCGGTTAAAACCTCGCGATTCTTTCACCTCCGGAGTAGTGACGCGAAATTCTTTTGCGGCAACGCGAGCCGCCCCGAGAAATTGCCGCGTCATTTAGATCTTTGTATGATAAAATTCCCAGGAATTGATCCTCCGCATCCGTGTTTCTCAACATATTTCTTTTTTAACGCGGCTCTCTTGGATCTCCAAGAAGCGTCTGCTTTTTTCCTCTTTGCCAAACGTACAATTTGACAAAAAGTTCGTAATGCGATAATTTCTATACATGACCAATGAGCGTTTCACTTGTTATGACAATTTGTGGAACGACATATAACAATAGAGATGATGCCTTGAAAGCTTGCTAGCGTTGCTAGGGTAGGTAGGGACAGCCGATCAAGTATATCCCGCCAAACGTAGTTTTATACTTAATCTTAACGTTGTAAGTAGTCACCCATCTAATAGTGAATTTTTTGTTTTCTTTCGCGCCGCAGAGATGGCGACGAAAGGTAAGTCGACCATTTTACATCCCCTTAAAAAAAAAGAAAAACAAAAAGGAATCCCCCGCGATCACACCAGCAGTTATAGTAGACGTTGCGGGAACCAGAGTGGTTACACAATAATTGTGTGATTGCGCCGCTCTCTGTTTTACCGACTATACCTACCGAGAGACGGCGGTCGTTCGAGCACAGATGGCTCGTGCAGGTAGTTAACCGAGAGGAATTATTACACGGTCTGTGCGTGTAGTCCTTAGTTGCAT